TCAAAATGACTACTCTGGTATATCTAGTGTTAATATTATATAAAGGGAGTATATTATAATAATATTATTGATAATTTTGTAAAATTAATTAATAATTTTGTTGTTTCTAGGTAGAAAAAAAAAAGAAAAAAAAAAGATACAGTTTATTATAGAGGGTTAATACAAGACGTTTGTTTCTTCTTTTTCTTTTTAATCTAATTGTGATCGTACGTTTTAATCGATCCATTTTTTCATCCTAACATCATCTATAAGGATTTGATTAGATTGATTCATACGAATCAGCTAAAGAAACTATTGTTTATTGTTAGAAAAACAATTTACTCAAAATGTTGATTCTTTCGCTGGACTCTGTATGATATATATATATATATACAGGAGAGCCGAGTTAAGTATGTATATACAAATTCGGAAAAAAAAAAAAAAAACAGAAATAAAACCATTGAGAGAAGATGTGAAAAATATTAATATTACAAAAAGAACAAAAGATAAAGAGAGTATATAAATAAATAAATCAATGGTATAAATATATATAATAAATAATAAGAAAATGAATATTGGAAATATTTCGAAGAAAAACCTTGATCTTTAGAAATATTATTCGAATGGGTGTATACCAATTTACTCAAGGCTATCCCTCTTTTTTTTTTTCTTTTTTCTTTATTCGAAAAATCTCTCTCTCTCTAGTCAATTTGGTGTTTGGGTTTTTAAATGGATTTTTGCCTAAAATAACGTCGCCTAACTAATACTGCTCTATACTACTACACTTTCTTTGCTGTACAAAATCAAATATCGTGTATGTACAAGACTTTATACGATTACAAAATCAAAAAAAAAAGAAAGATTTTAATAATAAGAACAATTATACACACAGTGCTGATATGCGTTTCATTTAACAAAAAAAAAAAACATGTCTTATTTTTCATAAATGAAAAGTCAAAGTAGTAAACCTTCCCTAGTAGCACAAAATATTGACAAATATTGAATACATGTGTATTTAATATTAAAAAAGAGATTCAATGTGTGTCTATTTAATATTAAATATAAATGTATTGAATATTTTTCAATATTTTGTTCTATTAGGGACGTTAAACTTGTTCTTCAGGCCACGTGTACCACCACCAGTAGCACAAAATATTGAAAAATATTCAATACATGTGTATAAAAGAGACTCAATGTCTTTTTAATATTAAAAATACACATGTATTGAATATTTTTCAATATTTTGTGCTAATAGAAGTTGTTGTACGTAATTACAAAATCATAGAAAAGAAACTTTGTCTTTTTCCACGTTCTAAAAAAAAAAACAACTATATTTTCTTTGTATTATTTCTTTTTTAAATCCTTGTTTAGGAATTCATATCAGCGTTAAAAAAAAAAAAATTAAAAAAAAAAAAAAGTTTCATGTAACATTTGCTTAATATACATAATATTAATTAGAATAAAAACTACTTTCTCTTCTTCTAGCTTCTTTTTGATCACGTTGCGCTATAATCTTTGAACACTTGGAAGGTAAAAGTTCTCTGGCCGTTATTAGCACACACATACATACATATTATACAAACATATATATATTTTTTTTTAATTTTATATATGTATTATATATCTCTAGTAGCACAAAATATTGACAAATAATTGAATACATGTCTATTTAATATTAAATAATAATATTATATATTATAATAATATTGAACATGTAAGGGGGGCCTTCGGGGTAAACACC